AAAGTCAATAGGGGAGCTAGAAGAACATGAAAGGAACTTGAATACTGTGGTACCTCTAATGGCAACAAACATTAAGCACAGTACCTCTTCTAACCAGATAAATACACATCCTGCTCTAAAGGTCTCTTTTCTCAGTTCCTCTTAGCCAAATCAACTTTCAACAACAACAAAAATTAGAAAGCCTGCCATAAGGAAAAATATAAAACAAAAACAAAACACAGGAGGATAAAAGCAAACAACAGCACCAGATATGACACAGATGTTGGGATTATTGGACAAAGAATTTTAAATAGCTGTGATTGATATGTTAATTTCTCCCTTGGGTAAAACAAACAGCATGCAAGAAGAGATGGTTAATGTAAGCAGAGAGATAGAAATTCCAGTGATCACAAGGGATAACAGAAATAAAAAAGAATAAGTGGAGACTGACTAATGGACTGAACGATAAATGACTGAGAAAGGAATTAGTGAGTTTGTATATAGACCCTTAGTAAATTTCTAAACTAAAATTCAGGCAGGAAAAAAGTGAGTAAAGACAAAACAAGGAAACATCCATGAACTATGCTACATTTTTCAGGAGGTATAGCATACTCAATCGGAATATCAAAAGGAAAAGAAAAAAAACAGAGAAAAGGAATTTGAGACAACAATGTCTGTAAACTTACCATATATTAATTGTAGACACTAAGCCACAGCTCCAAAAAGCTAAAAGAATATCAAGCAAATAAATACAAAAGGAATACAAAAAACAAATGCACCTCGTCACCACAGTCACACACTAATGTAAGTCAAAGACAAAGAGAAAATGTTAAAGACCAGGGATGAACAAAACAAGCACCTGTGGAGGAACCTTAGCCAAAGTAATTTTTAAACAAGAAATGTTGATCCTGTCACTGCACTTTTAAAATTAACTCAATTATGGTTTCCCATTGCTCTGGAAAAGAAATTTTAACCACCTTAACACATCAAACAGACCCTAAATAGTCTGGTACCTTCTTGCTTTTCTGGCTTCATCTCCATAAAATCCTTTCTAAAAGCCTTTCCACCTCTCAGACTATAGCCTTGTGGGGTAGCAGCATTGGGAGTGATACAGGACAGATGAAAGACAACTGAAAGTAGAGAGGGAGAGACCCAGAAGGGCTTGCAATTCTGGAGATGCAGCGACTACTTTCACATTTTGGGGGTATCGGATGCAGGGAAGGTGGGCAAGTACATGAGGAATGTGTGGTGGAATGTGCCTTGTGGGGATGTCAAGTGGGAATGCATAATAGTCTGTCTGTGGTAGGGGTGAGTATTGGGGATAGTACTTGCCTGGCACAAGCTAGACAGAAGTGAATAGGGGTTATTGCCTGGGAGGCTCCATTGTTGTTGCTGGTCAAAACATCCCATCTCTGTTCCTGTTTATACTTATGTCAAGGTGATCTACTTGGTTATGCTGATCTGGCATAATGTCTACCTGTTGTTTTTAGTAGATATCTTCATGCCAAGACTTTTGTCCTGGTGAGGGGTCCTTGCCTGACTTTTTCAGCTTGACTAGCAAGAAGTCTGGGCACCAAAACAATATTAGAAAACAAGGGGGCTGGGGGTCCACAGCAGGCATCATTGCATTCCTCTTGCATTGCATGTTTCCTATATCCCTGGGCATCTGTATATGCTCCTTGTCTTCCTTTGTCTAGTGACTCTTTAGCTTGTCTTCTTATTTCCTTAGGGAGAAAACCTTACCTAACTAACCAATGTAAGTAGATCACATGTCTATAGGTGCTCATAGGCCTTGTGCAGTTATTATACAAGGGTACTTTACTCTTTTTTTAAAAAAATATATAGAACTTACATAGTTTTGCTCATATTCCATTAACAGATTCAGAGTGCCCAATACAAAGTGGGCACTGAATTCATAGTTGTGTCATAAAAAAAGGAATAAATATCTTGCAAATCACCTAGTAAAAGAATGTTTATCAATTATAGTTCATTTGCAAAATCAGTCTCAACAAATATTAATTCATTTAAAAATTATCTAACAATGTCTTACTTCTACTAGGCACCTTTTAAGTTTCTGAAGAGAAGACAAACACTGTATGATATACTGAAGTATACAGCCATGTAAACCAGCAGAATATTCATAAAGGACATAACAGGCCCACATATGACCTGCAGAATGTATGAACTGGGCAGTGTGTACTGAAGCATCAACACTAGGAGAATGTGCACTCTTGGGTGCAGGAGTCCTTGTTATTTTGTTAATTGGCGTGTCCCCAGTGTTTACAAAAGCACCTGGTACTTAATAGGTCATTTATTAAAAGATGGGATAGAGGACCTCCCTGGTGGTGCAGCCGGTTAAAGCACAGCACTGCAAGCTGGCTGCAGCCACTTCAGTGTGAGTTCAATCCCCTGCCCTGAATTGATCCACATGACCTCTCCAGTCTCACCCGCTACTTCCCTCAACAGTGTACTTCATTCATCTGCCTGTTCTGCACCCCCTCACTCTGTTTGGTGAATCCTCTCACAACCCCTACACCTCTGGCCTGTACCCCAGTTCTGTATGCATAAATAAGTAAAATACTTAAAAAAAAAAACAGATGGGATAGAAATTAACTTATTAAAAGAGAGAGGGATAAGTGACAGGGAAAATATTTTTGATACAGAAAACAGTATGATGCCCAGATTAATAAATTGCCCATACTGACAGAATATAAAAATGGCATCGTTTAGCTTGTAGGAAGCTGTCACTGAGAGTTCAAGAAGAAAAGGGATTGGGAAAGGGAACATGAGCTTTTACATTTATTCTTTTCACAATATAGTCAGGTTAACAGTCAGTAAAAGTTGTAATTTCCTCATGGTGCTGTCTACACTATAAGTGATCTTTTCAGCATTGTTTTATAGATCACTATGAAACATTTCTAAACTCTCACAAAGTTTAAATGAATTTAATTTGTGTCAATTAGGTTTGTGTGTGGTTCTTTGACAAAACTATGTTATCCTAATTGTGATTTCTGTCCCTAGGACATAGAAGATTTGGTGTTTTTAATCAAATATATAGGTAGTACAGTGAGGAATTAAAATTGTGTCTTTAAAAATAGATTCAGATAGAATTGCAACCTTTCAGAACACATTTATACTGTATTTATAAATATTTGCCCTTTTTTTTTGGAAGGGGGAAGGAAGATATTGCTTCATCCATCAGATTCAAGGGGGGGGGGGCGGATAAAAATACTTTTACTGTCAAAGTGCCTATTGTTTCTGTCATTTCTAATAGTAACCAGTAGGTGGTATCAAACAATTTTACATTTCTGCTTTCTTACAGTTTTTATATCTGTTTGATTTCTGAAACTTCTTCTTTTCTAACTTCCACCTCATATCCCCTTTACAAATAATTACACTTAAGTGTTAAGAGGATTTTATTTTATTTCACTTTTCCATTTTAAATATCATGACTTTGCTTTTAGGGCGATACTTTTACATATATATATATATATGTCTTCACAGCTTATATGTGTATATATCTCACCACACACACCATCAAAGTTCTAGAGCAATTCATATCGTAAATTGACCAATCTATTCATTCTTACCCACTTTTTTCCCTTCACATCAAAATAAGTCTACAAGTTATTTTTGGAAACCAGTGCACTAAATCTCCACTTTTCTGATAATCTGTTTTAAAGTCTTCTCATTTCCACTGTAGCCCCTTGATTTCCAGTGAAGATAAATATATTTTCATAATGATTTGTCATTTGTGTTGCTATCTATTATCATGTGTATATGTGTATGTGTGATACAGTTGTGTTTTGTATGTTTCTATTGGTATATCTCTTATATTCTATTTAAAATTTCTCCTTTGTCATATTCTCAGTAGAAAATACCTTTACAATTTAAAACCTCTTCTAATTTGACACATGGAAACATCATTTGTTTCTGTCAGTGTGTTCTAATATTGACTCAGCAGCAGTGAATTTATTTTATACATCTACCTTTGTTCCTACCAGAACCATTATATTCCTGGGTGACTCAATCATGATTAATAGAATTTGACTATTTTAAATCACTAATTCTAGTTTAGATTTTTTTAAAGTTGCTTTATTCTAAGGGAAGAAAAAAGTGAATACAAAATCCTCAAAATTTGAAAACTTCCTTAAGACTTTAAAATCTTTTTTAATTTGATATACCCCTGTGTGCATAATTAAGCTTATATAAAATCCCTATAAAACAGGTAGCTGTAGACATTTGTCTACTCATTGGAACTCACCTTTTGCTCTATTGCTTTCTGTTTACTTAACTATGAGGACATCCTTAACTACTGGCAGAGAAGATTTACAATGAAAGACACCAGCTTATATTTTGAACAAACAGAAATATGTATTATTCTAAAAACTGCCATTGACATTTTATAAGGTTTTGATTTTATTTGCTTACTTTGTATTGATTTTAAGCTTCATTATGAAAGAAATTATGTTATCACGATGCTAAACAATCCAAAATTAATTTTATGTTTTAGCTATACTTTGAATGAAGAAATTGCTACTCAAGTTCCTATCATGGTCACTGGTATGAATGATTGGTCTAGTCTTCAGCATGATTCAAATAAATGATGAACAAACTAATATGAGACTTTTGTAGAGTTTAAAAAGATAATGCTAATGATCAAGGGGTCCATTTGAAGTACATACTTTTTCTTATAGAAAATTTTACTTTAGTCTTACCACACTTTTTTATCTGTACCCTAATTAATGACCTGTACCCTAATTAATAGCAAAGAAAGAGCTCTGAAAACAAAAATGAAAACTGAAAGCATTTTAGATTCATTGCTTCAAGAAATACAGTTCCACTTAAGGTAACTAATTTTGCACTGTGTTCTTCCAATATTTTTCTTATTGTTTTTGTTTTCTTTTAAGAAGGTAAAAATGACACTCAGAGTAGCTTTGAAAAAAAAAGGGTAGAAAGCACTTCAGTTCTGTGCTGTTAGCATCTGTTAATGTTTTTGGTCCCTATCTTCTCCTCTGCAGGGGTAACAACTGTTCTAACAATGACAACTCTCAGCATCAGTGCTCGGAACTCACTCCCCAAAGTGGCTTATGCAACTGCCATGGACTGGTTCATTGCTGTTTGTTATGCATTCGTATTCTCTGCTCTTATTGAATTTGCAACTGTTAATTACTTCACCAAAAGAGGTTGGGCTTGGGATGGAAAAAGTGTAGTAAATGACAAGGTAAGTGAGGACTGACTTCTCACTGTGATTATGAAACTCCTCTAACATATTTAGTTCATAACAGATAATAGTCCTAAAATTTGATAAGACATTCAAATATAAATTACATATATTACATATACATATGAATTACATAGATTTCTTTTAAAGTGTGCTCTTGTTGGAAATTCTTCAGGAGTTCTTGCATTAGTATTACTTCTGTTAAAATCACTTCCTAGGGTCTACTGTCAGGTACCGTGCTAAGCTTTTGCATTGCTTTCATGTACTCTTCACAGTATTCTAAGTAGGGTGCCTTTTAATTCTTTTTTTATTTTTATGAGGTATATAGTAAATTCTTTTTTATTTGCCTAAGATCACACAATTAGTTAATAAATTATCCACAAACCCTAATCTGTCTGACCAGTAAGCCCAAGCTCTTGAACACAATACTGCTATATAATAAAGTTTTGGAAAAGAAAGTGGCATTGACTTTTACCTGTTGTGAATTTCAAATCTATCAATGGGTTAAGTTGCTCTGGTTGCAAGGTCAAAATCAGACATCCCTGTGGTTCTCCTATGTTGTATGGAGTAAGTAAGGTGCTAGACAACTAAGAAGTTTAAATTGCATAAATTGTCTTGAAGAGAAAAACTATTTGTTTTTCAGATTAATATAGTTAGGCTTTATTGGTGTTGATTTCTTCAGATTTCAAGCTAATGAGAGGTTTGTACACTGATAGAGTAGCTGTTCCTGCCTTATTCTATACAGTGTTACTCATCTGCATTACATAATGAGATATAAAGCTGCACTCTTTTTTTTTTTTTTTTGTATAGAAGAACTGGGGTATAGACTAGAGGTGTGTGGGATGAGAGGATTCACTAGAGACAGAGTGGGGAACAGAATAGGCAGATGTACTGAAATACACTGCTGAGAGGAGCAGCAGGTGAGACAGAAGAGGTCTTCAGGGTCATGTAGATTAGCTTCCAGGCCTGGGAGCAAACTTAGGCCTCAGCAGTGACAGTGCCAAGACTTAATCCAAAAGCATTCTTAATGACAGAAAAAAAAGTTCAATTTAGGCATTACTTTTAGGAATATATATACCTAAATAATCCTTTCATTAATTTGGAATAACACACTTGCTGATCTTGTTTATTTTTCAGTTATTTGAATACGGATTTTTCTCATGCTATTACCATATTACACTTGAAACACCCAGTTAATATTGTAGTTCAAAGATGTTTCTTTTTTCTTAATTTTGTAAAGTGTAGAAATTTTAATGAATGAATGTGTATTTAATTGTGCATGTTATTTTTTTGCAACCTAAAATATGATATGTTCTGAACATTTGATAAGCTGGCAAGGAATTTATCTTGTAAGAATAGCCACTTAGAGATATAGGTCAATATTATTTATCTAAAAATATTTAATTAGAATTTACCTGTAACATATACTCTGGTGATATTTAAAGTTAGTTTTTGTGTTGAGTTTTCAATTCAAAGATAAAGCCTATCTTGTTCTATGATCTTAGATGACTTCATACTACTTTTATTTAACCTTCAGTGTGAAAATAGCAACAAAATCTTATTATTCTGAATTACATGATGCAATTGCAGCTTTTTTTATGAACTTTCATCCACAAAATTACCAATTAGCACAACTCCCTCCCCCAAGTTCTTCTGGAACCTTTTCCCACACCCAGTTTTCCTCTGTTTGCCTAAGACTTTCCCATCTCAACATTGGCTTCCTTTTCATCCTGTTCCTTTCAAAACTTTGATCCATTAGTTATTAGTTTCTGTGTTTATTTCTTCAAAGCATTTTCAGCTGCATCCTTCCTTTCAGTTTATGAAAGTGCTTTTGTACATTATGTTAATTTACCAAAAAGTCAGAGACAAGCTATCACCATAAGCCTTCATCCTCAGTCTACTCCGTTTTTCTCCATATAAGTTTTTTTAAAGCATTGCTTACGATACTATTTTCTCACATTCAGTTTAATCTCAGCCCTAATTTCCTTTCCATTTATTGTCCTGTAACTGAAGGGCACCCATAACGTCCACATTTTCAGATCAGATAATAATTTTCTATTTTTCTCAAGGGAGACCCACTGAATCTATTAAATACTTTTATACTAAAGAACTCTATTTCAGCAAGTTTTTCTCTTCTTTTCCTTGTTAGAACTGGTCTCAAAATATCAGCTTCCTTCTCCTTAAATCTTGGCAGCTGCCACTATTCATTCTATTCTTTGAAATTCTCTCTGCTCATTTTCACATTGGATCTAACCTCCCTGGCATCTGTTCTTGTTTATCACCAAAACAGTCACTCAGCTTTCTTTGCTGTTGTTTTTAGTTTTACTGTTCACAATGTGAGATGTAGTTTAAGGATTTTATTGAACATTATTTGCAGGAATGTTTGCAACACTAAGGAAACTGTCTCCAACCAGATAGTTCCTTAATTAGCTCCAGTATAGTTAACAATCATCAGGAAATTTCTGAACCCTTGCTCCCACTCCTAATAACTAGGTTCTATTATAAATATATACAGTATTATATTTTTTAACACTTGACCCTTTATCAGTCTGCAACCACATATTTACATCTCAGTTTTCACTAATAATGATAACAGTGACTGTTTACTTTAATAAATCAGTAATTCTTAGCCCTTTGCACAGTGCCTTATTGTACTATATGGTCAACAATATACAGTTTAATGAAGTAAAACCAAAGCAAGCATACTACTCATGTGTTCTTGCCTTCCAGAGTTTACTATCTACATTTTTAGACTGTATCTTTCTTTGAACTTCCAATTTCATGTATGCATCCTGCCCTCTGAGCTTTTCTACATGAGCATAATATCTCAATATGAATAGTTTTAAAAAGATAGTTAACATAAAAATAAAGCCTTCTAAAGTTTGCCCACTCGTATTTTTGTTCATCTATATCTCAGTTAATGGCAAAACTTAAATCTCACACCTCACCAACTAGAGGTATCCTTGAACATTCAATCAGTCATTAAATCATGTGCATTGTCCTAGCTATATATATATGTATGTGTGTACACACACATACATATATACACATATATATATACACATGCATATGTACATATTTATGTATACACACATATGTGTACATGTATGTATACATGTACACACATATTTATTTATTTTATAAATAAAATGCCCTGAATATCTGTATTCCTTTTCTTCTTCAACCATGTCTTTCTCTAATACATATTTTACTGTGAGAATTATCTTTCTAATCATTTAATTCATTCTTTAGTGAAATGTTGAAGGCATCTCTTCAAGGTACTCAGCTAATGTGGCCCAAGTATATAGCTGTCTCTTGAACTTCCAGCATGATATGTAACAAGGATCACTTAAAAGGTTTGTTCTGCACGTACTACTATGTGCATAAGAATATCTTCATTTAGAAATGAGTAAATGCATTATTGCTGAATCAAAGTTACTTATTCAGGTTCACATATCAAGTAAGTGGTGGACTGAAGACTGCACATAGATCAAAAGCCCATGCACACAGTCCTACAGCCATCACTATACATCTCCAAGCCTCTGTCCATCTCATGACAATAGATGCACTACTGTTTTTATAAAAGTTCTCTCTCCTTCCTACCTAGTTGATGAATTCTTACTGTTTAAACTCTAAGTTTACTTAATCTTGAATTTTTTCAAGTAAATCTATTTGCCATCAAATATTGTTTCAACAATATGGCTACAAATTCATTTTATGCAACCTCATTAAATTATACATTTATTGTAAATAAATTGGCTTCTAACTCTATTACAACATGGAATAATTAGAATTACTAAACTACTAAAATCACAGATTTAGGAACATACTAACTAAATTAATTTGAAATATACCATTGCTTTGTGATTCACTCCATGTGTTTCACAGAAAACATCCAAGTGTTTTTAATCACTTTTTTTTTTTTTTTGCATTTTTGAACATCCTGCCTTGTTCCAAAGCATTCTCAGGCAGCTTACCAAAAGAATGCATGGACATAAATTATAAAATGAAAAATAAATAGAAGTCTCTCCATTCAAGGAGCTGATAATCAAGTGGGAGCGGAGAAAAGAAGTTTTTAAAAAAAGTAGAGTAAAGTGCCATATGGAGAAAAAGCACTAGTATGTTGTGAACACACAAAAGGAAGTGGTACCTTAAATGGATGGTCCTTGGAGCTGATCCAGTCAGTGTGTTATGTGTATGACTGGGGACCAGTGTGGATTCATTACCAGTTCCCACCTCAAATGTAGCATAACTCACAGCTTAGAGAATGCAGGCTAAGAATTCTGATGAGAGAAATGTCAGTATCTATACAGAAAGCAAGTCTCTTAAAATTGGTAGGAAATAACAGGAATGCTGTGCCTTTGTGTTTGTTTTTTTTTTTTTTTTTTCCATTCTCTATCCATTTAGTTTCATTCTGCACATCTAACATTATTTTCTTCACTTATATTTTTCCCCCATGCCTGACCTTTTGTTCTGAAAGTGACCAACCTCAGCTCCTTACATAAGAAGTACAGAATAAGTAATAGTGAAATAACAAATACTGAATTGGACTGTTTCTTTTCACAGTTCTGAGTATAAACCTAGGGTTAGACTAATAAAACATAAAGTTAGTCAGGAAGGGACAAATTATGTAGTCCAAGTATTCAGTTTGCTGATCATCTGGCTTATTCAGAGGCTGGCATGCTATACAGAGAAAAAATGATAACATGTGTCTTTACTTTTTAATAGTAGTCAATAATGAATAGGACAAGGTAATACCTTCTAGTAATGGCCTGACATTCAGATATTCTTGGATAACCTTAGTAGCAGACCTATGTCCCATAAAGAATATATTAAAATACATTATATGGATTTAACATGTACTCTCTTTTAGTGGATCTTAGAATTGTAAATCTCTTATGAATTCAAAAATATTTTGTCTCTATACATGTAATTTTAAACTTACACAGATGGGAATAAATTGCTTTATAGATTTGCAGTAGGTAATTTTTTCAAATGAACTCCCCTTAAGGAGTTCTTTAATCTTCTAAAATGAGACTTTGAAAAATGCTGAGCAGAAAAGCTTGAATGAGCTATCACTATGAATTGAGAAGTTGCCCTGACTTTCTTCAACAAATGGTAAGAAACCATAGGTACCCACCTCTGTGCTTTGAATAAAGCTTGTACTCATGGCTGTTGCACTTTGCTTGCCACTGCCTCTGAAAATAATCACATTTCCATGTTCCAAGGGAATATTTAGAAGCCAATCCATGATTTTCTCAAGTATGCAGTCTGCGTTTAAAGTTCATACTTATATTCAAAATTTGAAGCCAAACTTTAACATTGAAAAAAATAAAATAAAACTAAGTCAGCAAAACTGATAAAAATATTTTGCACTCAGTTTCATTGCTGTTTATTATGGTGCTGGGATAAAACAGTGTTGGAATAAAACAAGAAATACCAATATACAAGTATGCAGGACTGTTATTTGGCTGGTGCATGCTGGCACAATAATTCAGGTTATTTTTGTAACTGTTATCTATGCATTTTGGTCAGAGTATTTGTTCTAATTTGTTAGTACTTCTGCACTAGATTCTGTTAAATATTTTTAGTATTAACTGTGCATTAAAGGTCATCAAGTTGGTGTTGGCAGGAAGGTGTTTGTAAGGGTCAGTTCAGTTTCAATCTGCAAACTCCTCTTGCAATGAGGCATTTGTGTTTTATATTTGTCTAAATATATGAGCCCTCAACTATAATTCCTGATCTAACTTAAATATTCCTATCCACCAAAGCTTCTCTGAGCTTTTCCACTCAGTGTTTGTTTTCTTTGAAAGATGTAAAACACCTAACTGTAATTCTTGTATACCAGTCTTTATCCTCCTCCTTATTAATCGTTATAACTGTCACTACTCTTCACTAAAAAACTGTTTTTCGATCTGGTTTAAAATATACATTATTTCATTAGGCTTTCCCATAATAGTTAATATGACTTTGTTGTAATTATCTCCCTTTTTTAAAACTAGAAGCTGATGCAGGGAAATACGACGGAACATTCCCAAAGGCCAAATACTCTATAATTCAGTCTGATATCGTTTTATACGTTGTTACCTATAGTTGAAACACCACAAACACTACACAATACGTAATTTGTGGCAATCTTCTTTTAGAAGACTGCATTAGTGATGGAAGCTTCAGTTGGATATTTTAAGAAATAGTACTGCCAGGCAAAGAGCTTCTTCAGAGAAAAAGCATGGTGTTAAAAGCAGAATTTAGAATTCATACACATTACTTGGTAGAGAGCAGATGTTGTCATGTTACAAAATCTCTTTGACCTCCATTTGTGAATTTGTAAGATGGAGTTAATAATAAAATTTACTTCTTATCCAGTAGTGAAGTTTTTCAGAATTGATACCCACAAGTTTAACATTCAGCCAAACCTCTCACTGTTTGACATTAGCTGTCATCTTGTTATCAGTTATATACTTAGGGATTATCCTCCATTTGTAGCACAGAAATTGTATGTCATTATTGAGGAAATGTTATTTTATAGTTTTATAAATTTAGAAATGATTATCCCTCACTCCTTTTCCTTTAATACCCATCCAGATCTAGAAGAATAGCCATTACTACCAGTATATTATAGGGAATCCAAACTTGTTTGCTTATCCTCCTGGGGTTTCAGAGGCCCTTTTTTATCTTTATTTACTTGGACTTTTTGAAAATTCTTAGTTCAAAGTATTAGATATTTGAAATTTTGTTATGGACCAATTGAGCTTCTAAAGCCATAGATTAACACTATTCATTCTTTAGGATAACTCTTGTTGGTTCATTGCCACAATATATAGTATAGTGTTTGCGATGTTTCAGCTATAGCTAACATCATATAAAATGATATCTAATTGAATTTATAGAGAATTTGGCCCTTGGAATGTTCCCTTAGCCTCTCCCTGCTTCAGTTTCTAGTTTTGAAAAAAGTTGATATTATACACTATGAGAAAACCTAGTTACCTAAATAGATAACAGTACATTTATATTAGTATAGAAATGCAAGTAAATGTTTTTATTTCCAGGTTACATTAACTTAGCTATATATTTTGAGTCTACCTCATGGAAGGCATAATATTAACTAATAAGATTTCAATAGAGAACAAGATGAAATTACCACCAGCTTTCATTGAAAAGACATTCTACTGAGAAAGGAATATGTTGACCAAATTATAGCTTTAAAAGGAATTTACACATTTTGAAAATTGCCAGGGTGACTGGGAATAGAAACAGTGCTAGGTAGAGTAGCTTTGTTGTAGGGAAGATCTTTCTGAGAAAATGACATTTTAACAAAGACCAAAATATGAGAGGGAATCGATCATGTGAAAAATAGGATGGCGGGATGGTATTTTGTTAAGATTAATCAAAGCAAAAAAGCAAATGTTGTGAAAACTGAAATTAATGTACTCAAACTGATATGTAATGTGCAAAGGAAATAATTCATAATAAGAGTGCTGATTTTATTGCAAGTTCTATGAAATAATATTTAAAAGATTTAAATGGTCTAGGCAGGACATAATAGTGACCCAGAATAGAGTGGGTGATAACTGAACTGGGATTATAAAGAGGAACACAGTGTGGATGAACTAGGAAAATCCTAGAGTTGGTATTTCAATTAAGTGTTTTTTAGCATTAATTGCATTGCTATCTGTGTGTATAGTTAACAGTTCCCCCCCCCCCACCAGGTGAGTAAAACCTTGATGCATGATAATTGACACAAATGATAGAAAACCCATTATCAAGTTAAATTTCTTAAGATTATTTATTACAGATGATCACTGATCTTGTTGAAATATTTCTACATCTCACTTATCTATTCATTTATTCCTCAAAATATATGAGTGATTTGTAAGAATAAATATACCACTTATGTAAGTTTTTTTTTTAATTGTTTGTTTTCCATCTGGACACTAAAAAAATGGTTCTTCAGAAAAATGGTGCCATTAATTTCACTCCGGACATTTCTTTCCCCTCATAGCTTTAGGACTTAATTAAATTAATTCCCTTTATTTATTGCACTGAATTTCTTCTAATAGTTAATGATGTTTATAAAGATACCATTTTTCAGAATTTTAAATGGCTTTTTAAAAATGTTAAGTAGCAGACTCAAACCACATTCTATTCATTCTTGTATTTTTTACTAGAAAAAAGAAAAGTCTTCTGTCATGATACAGAACAATGCGTATGCAGTGGCTGTTGCCAATTATGCTCCGAATCTTTCCAAAGACCCGGTTCTCTCTACCATCTCCAAGAGTGCAACCACGCCAGAACCGAACAAGAAGCCAGAAAACAAGCCAGCCGAAGCCAAGAAAACCTTCAACAGTGTTAGCAAAATAGACAGAATGTCTAGAATAGTTTTCCCAGTTTTGTTTGGTACATTTAATTTAGTTTATTGGGCTACATATTTAAACAGGGAACCTGTGTTAGGGGTCAGTCCTTGAACCTAGATGCAGTTATCTGGGGGATGTAAAGCAACATTAAACTTCATTTGTTTTGCTCTGTACAATCTGACTAATAACTGCTAATTTGTGAACCAACATGTACAATATGTATATAGCAATCTTGCTCACCAGTAGACCTCTAATGGAGACACGCATTTGCTAACTCGTGGAACTGCAGAGAGAAAGCACCCCATGCCAAAAGAGCCATTGCCTTTTTTAAACTTTAACCCTAATACCTGGTTAAAAGTGAATTTCAAATGACCTATTTCCTATTCTTCTAACACTGATGAAAAATGGGGATCCGCTCTCACACTTCAGGGGTCCTTTTGTCTTAGGTCTTAAGCAGGAGTGTTTTTTTTTTTTTTTTTACTATTGCTTAACTGTAATATAAAATAACATTGTCATTCCAAGATGAATTTTAAATACCATAATCACATTTCTGCAGCATCAGCTCCCTTCCTGAGTGCCAGAATCCCTGCTAGTGTAATTGGAAGCTTGGCACACATCAGAAGAAAAACTAGAGATTTGAAATTAGCTTTTAATTAATCTGTGTAGTATCTATAGCCATGTACATATAACAGCATGATAAGCTCAAATAAATATGAGTCACCCCTGACAGGATGTTAATTATACCTAGACTTTAATACCTATCAGAATGTCATGGTCATTACACATTTAGTATTAGACTTTATTTGAGAATAATAATTGAAGTCCTCTGGATTATTTTAATTATTGGAAACTACCTTAAATTTTAAAAGACAAATGTGTCTTACCCTTTCCAGGTTTGAGTTGTACTGAAATTGATCAGCTAAATTTTCTTGGTGCTGGAGACTGGAGATGGAATCCAGTTTGGCTGCTGTGACACAACATTCATATTGGATTAGAAAACTGTGCCAAAAACTCCCTTTGAGGAGAATTCATAGGTGTCAAAGAGTATAGATGAGCACTTACTTGATTCTCTTCTTTCCTGTTTACTGCAAATTCTGCCTTAAGGCTTCTTTTCATCAGAACATAGAAGCCACTAATTATAAAGAAAAGGGCAGTTCATTGGCACATTTTTCTGTCTTGAAAGCAGCTCTTTCAGATAAGATTTAATGTAAATCTGCTTTTGTAAATTGCAACTTTAAATTTTGCTGATTCAAATTTACAACAGCTTTGTATACCAGAAGAGGTTTTGGTAAGAGTTGAACATTTTTAAACTGAACTTTAAAGCATCACCAACAGATCGTGGATTAGTTCATATGTGCAAAATGTAAACACATGCATTCAATATACACACAATTAGCTAAATTAGAATACAGACACAAACAATAGCTCAATTAAAACAATTTTCAATTTTATATAAATTACTAATTATTAATTGATAAAAATCATTATTTATTTTAAGATTAAAATTACTCCCTATGCCCCAAAACATGATAATAAAAGTCAATAACTGTTGCCTAGATTCAACATTTTTGACAAACTTAAGATCCTTTTGACCCACATATACATTAGCAGTTATTAGTTGACTTTTACTAAAAGTTACACCTTTATAATGGTGTTTTGATAGAAATAATAGTAGTCAGAAAGTGGCATTTCATGCAGTTTTGTACAGTATTTCAGTATAGTGCATAAATAGATATGTTCATAAAATTGATAAAAGGAGTATCTTATGGAAATAAGCAAAATCACAACAAAAGTTGTTATTTCTTTGCCTCATTTACATTTTAGTTTCTTAAGTTTTCTTCATTTTAGTGTGATTCTATTATATACTTGCATGATTGTATTAATACCAAGGTCACAAACGCATCTTAGTAACAGAATCTGCTGTGAAGACAGCCTTGACATTAGAAATTCCCTTACAAAAGGCAATCCATAATCCTTAATAAAATAAAATTGTTACTTGACCCAAAATGTATTTATTTAATTTCCTTCCAGGAACATTTTTTGTTATCAAAATAGTTTGAAAATGTGTACTTTATTCATACATTGAAATAGAAAGAACCTATTTTCTTACACACTTAAATATAGATTAGTTTTCTGTGTTGTTTAGGGAAGTGTGCAATAGTAGGCGATAAAAATGCTCTGTATGGTATGTATTATTAGACATTTCAAAATAATTTTCTTTTATAAGTTCTGCATTGCCCCCTAATGTCTGGCTTTTATTATAAATTTATAAATATGTACATATGTAAAAATAGTTGTAAATAGCAGTTTCAGCAGGACATCATGACATCTTTGTTATGGGCAAAACACTGCATCTACATGACACCAATTTTATGAAAATTTATGGAAGATTGACTAGAAATGTTATTACCATTATTGTTATTCTTAATTTAGTATCAATTATTAAAAACTTATTTGAGTCTAATTGCATCCTTACAGTTCAAATTTTCTCATAATGTGGTTCAAGATTTTCTACAATTTCTCTAACTGCAGTGTATTTTTTACACATTTCTTAAATCTTTAAAGTTCAGATGACTCAAAAAGAACTTTTGGTCTTGATGGAAGGGAAAATGTTTTATGAGTATAGATTTTAAATCATGGAACCATGGTCTCCATAAATACCATATCTCCCATATAAACCATTATAAAAACACAAATAAAAGAAATGTGGACTATCAAAATAAGACTAACTTTCCAGGAAACACAAATGTATGTGTAGTGATATTTTTAGTCTATTTTCTCCCTGTTTTATGCAGCTACCTATTGACATAAAGGGTTATGGTATGTATAAAATTGAGGTAAATACATGTCTATATCGATACAATCTCATTGTCGTATACCTGCTATTCTGATTCAGCTAATATTTCTTTTTTTTAACTGCTTATTTTGTGTGATGGCATGCGAAGATGGTGTTGACATTCATATCACACCCACAGAATTTAGATGAAAATTAAAGTGCATCTTATTCTTATAAAGGTTTAGAATCAAAAACTAAATGGAACATGCAAATTAGTTTAGAGCTGAGAGCTGTTTAATGAGCTGGAAGATCACTACTTGACTAAAATGGTGGCTCTTTTCCTGTGTTTTCCCATCCATGTTCCTATTTGTTTCAATATAAAAAGGAACTAGTATAACCATTTAGTTAACTTTTACATCAGTTACTTAATGTCAATATCAATGTTTAGTAATATTTTCAGGGATCACTCTAAGATTTGTCTCAGGTTTGAGCAAGTGACACCCTTTAGTCACATTTTCATTTTTTCCCCCATAGTTAATAATTTATTTTATACAACACAAAGAAACTCTTCACTATTCTGATTCAGCTAATATTTTTCCTTGGTAAATTTGTGGGTATGCATATGTGTGCATACATGTATGTGTGTGTATATCACATGTGTGTAACTATTAAAATTGATTGCAAAAAAACTAAACTCTACCATGTTTAATCATACTACAGGAGCACCAAGCTCCAAAGTTCTCTGAATTTCATAGAATACTTTTTGGAATGAGTTGTCATCAGCCCAGTGGGGGGAAATGGAAACAACTCAAGTTGTCTGAAAAATCATGTCTCTTTTCATTATTAGTATTTCTTTTTTCTTGTCGTCCATATTTGATGCCCTCAGATGGTGCTCGTGAAACATCAAGCTGTGCATTACTTTATTTGAGGTCTGGGACCATATTTACATCTTTATTAACCAGGTTGCTCCTGTTTTTGGTTTTCATGATACATTTATATATACATGAATTTTTTTAAACAATTGGCAATTTTTTTTTATAAAAAGATTTAGAATTTCAAGAGAATCATGAGCTGAGTCATTATGAGCCCTGTAGTGCTATTGTTTTTCCAAATAACTGAGGTCCCTGGGTTCCCTGCGTTTCCCTTTGTTAATCCAAAATACTCCAAAACATAAAACTTAAACGGAGGAAGAATATGGTTTACTTTTAGCATCTACTTGCTTAGAAATCAGGGTCATTATTAAAATCTCTCATGACAGTGTGGACAAGACGAAGTATAACGTTTTTCTCTATGTTTTGAACAACAAAAAATTATATAACTATATGTCAAACTTCAAAACACTCTGTTGTAATTAATATATAGTATGAGTTATCATCAACAAAAGGGAATAATAATAAATTTATGTTCTGCTTAGAATAATATTTCGAAAGAAATTTCACTAAGGTTTTAGCTTTGAGTAAAAGCATAGTGTGTGTGTTTCCGATGAAAAGAATCTTGAGAAATTCTGACAAATTTATGAAACCTAGACATTTTATTCATTAATGGTTCCAACCACAAATCTAGTTTTTATTAAAGGCAATTACCTTTGTTAATATAATAGCTTTTCAGTAGATCTGAAACAAATTTATTTATTAGTTGGGAGTCATGCATACCTATGGAAATATCCTTCCTATCAGATAAACATTTTTTTATCTAAGTGACAAATTATAATGTATCAAAATGCTTTTAGTTGATGAGGCACACAAAATAAGTACTTCCCTGTGGTTGTTTTTTTTTCTATTTTGTTTTTGCCAGTTATTCTGAAAGGTTTTATTTTTTTAATGAAATTAATAATCATTGAACTTCAAGGATGATAGATGATGTTATCAGTTTGTTGCAAATAACTATCGAATAAAGCCTAATCTAACATCAAATAAATGCCAATGTTGGGATGTAACTATTGAATTAGCTTTGTTGGTATAAAAATTTTCAGTTTTTCATGCTCTCTTTTAGTGGAAACCCCTCGCATAGAGGATCTCATAACTCACCACCAAATGCAATCCTATAATGTCAGGTAAATATGAGTACTGCCAACTAAGTTTATTTATGAAACAAACGCTATAAGGAAAGCAAAACAAAGGAGTAAGACACAGTCTTACTTTAGGGGTAATACTTATTGAGTTTTTCCCAGTTCCTTATTTTTATAATAGTCAATTTTGTTACTGAAGCAGTTAGCTGTTTTAAATACAATATAATATATGAAGAAGTTGGCCTCAATGAAACCAATATTGAGTCACAATTTTCATAAATTAAACTTTAAAATCTATTTATAAATCCTTGATAACTTGTTAACCTTGGATGGCTGCACTGTAATTAATTTCAATTTTGCTGATATCGTGATGGCTTAACAAGGTTCTTTTGTGTGGATACAAATTCAGGCTTGATACATGCCAAACTAAGGAATATTACCTTTCACAAAATAGTCCCTTTAGAGGTAACATACATGGTAACTTAAAAAAGTTTCATATTTGTTATTAATTAGAAAAGAAACCAAAAGAAATGAGGTGTTTTCCCCTTGCTATAAATTAGCAATAAAGTTAAACATATAATAGAAGTCCAACAATGAGTGGTGAATATCCTTATAAGGGAAATTGGGAATTTTCTTAATGAGTATACAGATACAAGGCAGATTTTCTAGTTTAAGAAAATCATTCAGGAGCTACTAATATTTATAAATTTATGACTTTGTAATTGGAAAAAGTCAATGTATATAAGATAATTTGACTTTTATCGAACATGTCATTATGCTTTCTGTTTAGACAATTCCTAATTATTCACATGCAAATTAATGATAAACATTATCTTTTTCTACTTATTAAAATGAATTTAAATATAGTTGATCTGAAAATTGTGGGGTTTTGTACTCTATTCATGACATGTTCACTTACAAGAATTGAAATGTTTCGTAAATGTTGCCTTTTATAATAAGATATAACACTGATATTGTAATACCAGTTTTAAATGTTGTTCATTTCTTAAATTTCTTTTTAAAATATAAAGTTTTAAGGTGACCAGAGAGAAACTTGACCTAAAATTTAAAGTAG